AAAAAAAAAAAACAAAACTACGGGCCTGGTAGGGGAAGATCCTCATACTATAGGAGCTAAACAGTGACGGTCTTTACAGTTGGATGGCGATTTCGCTTTGAAATATACCAGGGAAAGTGTTCCATGCTCTTCGTGTCCACACAAAAACGACGAATGCGGTTAATTTTTTCAGCGGTTGAAAAACGGATCGTTTGAGTGTGAAAGTTTGTTATTTTCTCCCTGATTTGTAGGAAACTGTTTCTCAACTTGTCTATTTAGTTTCAAGCAGTGTTCAAGAAGAGTAACCTCATATAATAATAAACATTAATTGTTTCATATAATATAATCACGCCAGCTGACTGTGGCCATTTTTGGGGCTCAAATCATTCAGGGGAATCCATACATGTACCAGCCCGAGGATGCGTAAAACATTCTATGTCCCCTAATGCAATATAGACTCGCCAAGAATGGACGCGATTACAAACCGGCGCCAGCGAGATTCGAAAGCCAACCGTTTGTCAAAGCCTAAGCAGTTAGCGAGTTTGCAAATTGGCTGCCCCAATACTTCTGAGACTTGCTGTAAAATGTACCTGATACATCGGGTCGCGGCTGAATTAAGAAGAGCACGACGACCCCCGGACAAAGACAGAATCATTAGGCAGCGGGAAATTCAAACGGCCGTCCAAAGGTTATGACGTTTCCAGACCAGGTGTACTTGTTCAATATGTAAAGTAGATCACGTTCAACCAATCAATGACGTAGCCCGTGTACAACACGACAGTAGCCATTGTATTTCACTGCAGATTACATTAGTTACTTCTGATGTGCACTGTGGACTGGTATTACCTGCGTTCTCTGTTCCTCACGTACATCGTCCAGTGTCACGCTGCAGCGTTTGGGTTTGTTGTATACATTTCAATCAGTTCAGCGAAACGGTATGTACTTCTTAATCTATTGAGCACCCTGTGCGCAACCCCTCTCCTCCCGACGTTTGCTTGTACTAAACGTGACATTTGAATTGCTTCACTTAGTTTATGTATTTTCGCGTCTGTCTTGCGTATCCACCCTATTTTCTAAAGCGGGATCCATGGCGGCATACGAGTGGGAAAACGTGAATATCTACCATTCTAACAACGCCGTGGAGATGGAGGGTACAGTCCCGTCTGTGTCCAGGCTAGGTTTTTGCTCAAAAGTTTTTGTAGAGATAACATAACCAATAACTTTTCCGTGGTCGCTGATTTACATTTATTTATTAACACAACATCCCCCGGAGGGGATGAAAAGGGTTACAAATCAGATATTAGTAAAAGAAAAATAACTACATAAAAAGGGAACAAAAAAGCATTAAAAAAATGATAAAAATTTGTATACATGGAATGTGTTATTGGCTTAGTTTATGTAGGTGCTGCTGTCTTGTATTAAAACAATTTGTTAAATATTGTGCTAAAGGAATTGACATTTTCTTGTCACTTAGTGATGATATGAATTTATTTTCATTACTAAATTTGTCAAAATTTGGTATACATTTATTAGCGACAATGTAAAGTTTTAATCTTATTTCATTGTAATGAGGACAATTTATGACAACATGTTGTTCATCTTCAACATGGTCATTGTCGCACATATTGACTGTTTTTAAAATCCAATCCTGTATGCCGGCCTGTTTCAATTTTCAGACAGTGGTTGCAAAGTCTATATTTAGTTAAGGATTTGCGAAGTTCACTGTTTTTCATAATTGTAAAGTAGTTTTCTTGTTCTATTTTTGTTATAAAGTTTGTAGGTTCTTAGTTCATTTTTAGAATTTGATTTTTTTTCCTATTGTCATTTATTTCATTTTTCCACTCAGTTGTAAACTCTTCTTTTAATTTCTCATCAATTGTTTTTAATTTTGATAATGAGATAATACTATACTACTGTAAAACGATTTTATTTAATTATTTTGATGTTTTGAGCATTACAGTGAGTTCATTCTGTTTTAATTTCACGAATTTGTCAAGAGAATAATATTTTATGTTAAATTTATCGGATTTTGTTCGGCGAAAAGTATTAATGCGTTCAATAATATTTTTTCTGCCCTTTTTCAATGTATATGTGGAGAGTGAAATGTACTACTAATAGAAAATAAATGCCACTGGGTAAAGTGAATAATTTAATATTTGGTTTATTAGATTGGGTTAATTCTACATATTACTGAATATAGAACAGTGCAGCAGAACTAAGAAACTAGGTTCTATGCAGTGTTTTGCCTAGGCAAATGTTTTCAATCCAAAATCCACCTTGAACTCTGTGTATTTATTATTCCAAGTTTAACAATTGCCGTATTTTCTTTCCCCAATTTCTATATTTATGCGAGTGTCATTTGTACCGGGTATATACAGTAAAGCATACAACTACAAGATTTTCATTTTTTTTCCTTATTTGACTGCTTCCCATAGATGACATTGTATTGTTTGGTGTGGCTGTTAACGTGGTACATTATTTCTGAAAGAACGTTTACTGTAAAATGTATGATTGATGGTATTGAAACTGAAAGTCAACTGACAGAGTTTATCGATAGCCAATTGAGAGAATTTACAGTTAGACTGGAAAGAGCTGCCTTTGATGTTCAATCTGCTCACCACAGGTACGTCACTAATTACGTTAACTTTTTCAGTATTTGTACCTTGCTCAAATTGAATTTTGATGATAGGTATTACAGTTTTATTTTACAGTTCGAATTAAAATGGTCTGTTGACCTTTTTGTTTTTAAATGTTCTTGTTCTTGTCGCTTCAGATAATGTTGATGCAATGTCCACAGCACTATACAATAGCTACATCTTGGAGATTCCTTGACAAATTAAATTCAAATTTTACTCGTACACATTGGTAATAATGGTTATTGTACACGGCTGAATTTAATATGTAACATCATGTCAATACCAGTACAATGAATTTGTCTGTTTCTTTTTATAAAGAACTTATGACACTCCACATGAGCGCAAGAAAAGAAGCTCGCTTTATAGCTATCCACATGCTTACACATACAACACTGGAGCTGGTAACAGAGAAGGTGAAAAACTATTTTATGTTATCTATCGGTATCAAAAAACACAACTTGTGATTTTTGTGGGTGGCGGTATCCAATAATAATCTGTTAAATGGCTGGTTGTTCAGTTTTTAAATATGCATATTGTAAGATTGTCATAGCTACAATGTACAGAGGCTGGACAGTATTGAAATAGGGACATAATTTTATAAAACTTTCTTGTTTATAATATTTTTTTCCCCCTACAGAGGTATCAATTGTTGATATTACAACCTTTCAAGAATATGGTGTAAATGAAACTGTGGATGTGCAATATTTTCACTACAATGGGTTATATTGGTTATCATGGTCCTCTCCAGATCCTGGAGCTTCAGCCATTCACGTTTACGACTACTCTTCAAACGAGTTTATTTCACTTGCATTATTAGAATATGGCAAGTACAAATTTAAATTTGCATTATTAGAATAGCTCTGTAATACAACACAAATTTAATTAAACAAGACTTGTAACAATGCAAGTTACTTGCAGCTGACTAAAATATCGTCAGTGTGTTATTTCATCTTCTACTTTGTATGAAAACTCAATTATTGAAAACCCACTAAAAATATTTGGCCATTTTTTTTTAATACTTGTAGCCATCGAAAAGTACTTTTTCAGATGCTATAAAAAAAATTTTTTACCATGCATCAAAGTGAATTTGTTGAGGAACTAGGATTTATCCTTGCCGTAGGAAACTATGGTAATGTCCTTAAACAAACAAAACATGCCATTTTCACTTGTTTGTTCAATTTTATCCGAACAGACTAATATGACCAGTAAATTTTTAATCCATTTTTTTTATTATTATAATGTATCAAATGTGTAATAAAGAAAATGTTTTTGTGTAGCATTCTATCTTAATTGGCAGCTATTTAAAAATTACCTAGTGAAATGTTTTACTCAAACGCATACATTGCCTGCTGAAGACTTTCACGATGCCAAAATCGAAACCAAACAGAGTCAACAGGCAATGTTTTAAGCTTGTTATACATAACACTAAAATTGACATGACATTTATAATTGTGTGTATTTATTTTGATGCAGGAACAATTACTAGTGAACCATTTCTTGTTAATTCTAAATGGTTTGATAAAACAATGGCCTATGTGGCTTTTGCAGTTTCCAACGTTGATCAAAATTCAGTCACCATTTTTGGACTTGATGACATGACACTGGTGAGTATTGAGAGTGAAAATACCACTAATTGTATCAAAAACATGTGGGTAATGGTAGATGTTGCTGTAATATTCTCAGATTTGAACATTGCTTTTTTTTTCAGTTTTGTAATTTCATGCCTGGGTTTCAGTCTGTGCACTTGTTCATCTTCGACACAAATGAACAGGTCTTGTTCAAACTTTGTGCATACATGTACATCCATTCATCTTGGGGAACTTGTGAATATGCAATGGTTTTTAGCTTCTGTGTGTGTAGGTTTATGAGTTGGTCTTCCTGTCTAAGCAAAATCTCAAGTTTTGATCATATTTGATACTTGGGTACCTTTAGATCATGTGCAGACATCAGTTTTTGGGCCATGTTTGTTCATATTAAGTAGCTAAATTGCATATCTTATTTCAGCCTACGTTTGCCAAAAATTTAAAATGGATAAAATTTGCTGTATATTTGTAACTAGTATCTGCTGTCTGATCCTTGGCTACTTCACTCGGTGTTAGAAATTTTTATTTCCTACATATTTTTTGTATAAAACAATGATTGCATGTGAAAGCTTTGCAGAGTTTAACTTTGATTTTATTTGATTCCAGATGGCTGAATGGGCAACCCTTTCATTGTTGAATAATTCATTAAAATTGAGAATTTGTCATTTCAAACTTAATACATTGAACATGTGGCAGCCATTTTTTCACACTTGTGCACACACATTTGTACTGCACCTGATAGATAAAGTGTAGTCAATTTAAACGCTTTTTGAATTGCTATGCAGTTTTTAAATTGCTTGTAAAAGATTTCATTACATTACGCAAGCAATTTTGTTGATAATCGAAAAAGTAGTATGTAAATTAATCAATAACTGGTGTAAACAACTAGGTTTCACGGTAATGTTTTTGCATCTAGAGATGGAAATGTAAAGTTTTCCTAGTCCCTCTTGGATGCCTGATGTGGAATCAGTACATGGTAGCAAGGTCATTAATTCTGTCTAGGTTGGCACTAAAGGGTGTAGATCTTGTAATAATAATTTTATTAGCCTTTGAAACTGTGTAAAAAAAGTAACATGCGTCGACAAGAAAGGAAAAACAATCTATAAGAAGCATTAATTCATACATGTAAATCATTCAACACTAACATTTCACCTTGTCAAAGTTGGGAATCATTGTCATTGGATGTAAAACAATTACCATTTGTGTTGTGTATAATCGTAAACTCACAATGGATGCTCACTAAATTACACAACTTCAAGCTAGTTTTAAATAAACATGAAATTTGCATATTTTCTAATTGTCAGGTTCAACAGCAAGTCATCGATTGTGGTAAAGTCGTTGGAATGAAGTCTATTACAATTGGTTCAAATATGTACTTAATGCTGGCTGTTGAGGCATCTTCTGGTGCACCACAGATTTCTTCTCTGTACAAATGGCATGCCAGATGTGAGTACAATAATTAGATCAACAGTCTGAAGACTTGTTCTCGATTACCGAAAGGACTTGAATACTTGAATGCCAGTCTCTATATTTGAGTTAATAAAAATGATTTGTTTGTTCTGTAGCTGAGTTGATGTTCCATGTGCAGGATCTAACAGCTGCTGGTGCTGTTGATGTGGAAGATTCAAAATAAACTC